GCGAGCGGAGGCCGGGGACGAATTTTCGGAGCCCACAAAATCCAAGTGTTTCCTATCACAATCATGGTAGTATGGCATAGCATTTTCTAGAAAAGAAAGATAAAACAAGATTTAAGAAAAGTTTAGTCAAAAGATTAATCATGTCTCGGTAAAAGTGTGTCATAGATGTTACAGGCCCATCACTGAAGGCATCTGTTAATTCTCCACAGACACCTTCAAAAAAAACACAACCCTTCATATTATTTCAAGCATCCATGAATCAAGACTGTTGATCAAAGATACAGATAATTACTAAATTTACTAATAAAATGAGATGCAAAATATCGTCTAAAAAAGAATAAATCAGCATCCACTCAATTGCAACCAGTGGTCACTGTTTATTATTGTAAAGGAATGAAAACTTCGTAATTTAGCTTAGGTTTCGACCCCAATGTCTAATTCATCCAAATGGTATACTAATTATTATCTTTTACTTTGCTGGGTAGATTCAACTGGACGAGCTAATCAATATTTACATCCTCAAATAAGGATTAATATTTAAAAAAAAAAGATTAATCAATTATAACATTTTTCCGACCAATTCTTAAAAAAAAAAACATTTCGCTGAAGAGCATTTAAAGAAAAAATTTACAGCCAGAGATTTCAATTGTTAACATAGATAAACAGAAGCTTGAACTATACATAATTAGTATTTTAATGAACTAGAAGCAAGAAATAATGATGGAAATATAAAGAAAAAAGTGATAGAACAATATTATGATAGATGCACACACAATCACATTAAACAGAAGTTGTTCAAATACTATACAAGGCATATTCAAATTAAGGCAAGCCATTCTACCTGCACAGCAATATCACTTGCTTCGATCGCACAAACCTGAGAATGTGAGAAGGGGTTCAGAAGTAAGGATGTGGAACTGCCACGTGAGGTAAAGAAATGGACGAAGTTGTGCCATCCTAAAATCATAATGACTATGAATATTATTAATAAAAAAAGCTTAGCAATAATAATGAAATGTTGTGCCACCCTTAAAACATGCTTCAGATGAGTAAGTCACATAAATACTCCCAAAAAGCGGCTAAGGAGTGCATATCACCAAACAGGCATCAATTACTAATTAAAAAGAGAACTGGCTGAGCTTGAATGCTGTAAAAAGGAGATTACATGGAATATGAGACTGAAATGATGGATCATGGGAAAGAGAAATTAAGGATGCAAATTAGCTCAAATGTTTTATTTTATGCCACATATAGATAGTATTAAGGATTGTTTTGATGCTTCAGTGACACAAGCTAACAAAATATGGTCAGCTAACCAGCATTGCATTTAATGAACGAGAGAGACTAGCAAAGGCTATAAAACAAGTTACAATGAAGGATAGTGAAAAGTGGCCTTTCAAATTAGCAAATATGAGTAAAAATGTTATTCTAAAATGCATGTTGCTCAAATTGCACAAAAACAAGGATAGAGTTACAAGCAAATTCAAATCATGTAAAAAACTCGAGACACATCAATGTAAGTTATAACTAGCCCAACCAACATAAAAGAGAAAGTGCAACATGCATAAGACTCTCAAGACAAATATTCTAAATAGATAGATTAACTTCCTAAAATGGTTTAATTATGAATTATATGATTTGGGTAGCCTTGATGCATCCTATTAAACAGTTCAGTTTACAGGTAAAAAATATGGTCCATTTATCATGTAATGGAACAAATCATCTAGCTTTAATATATTCCTTGCTTAAGGACAGTATGCACCAAAGAATTTTTTAATGCATACTTGATCAACACTAATCATTTTATTGAAGAAAGGTGAGACGTCGACAACAACAACAACATCAAGCCTTTATCCCACTATGAGACTGGCTTAAAGGTGAGACAAAGTGAAAAACTTTATAGTGCACCAACATATAGTGTTGTTTAAATACCGTGTATACAAATGATTTGCATAAATATTTGTTTGACAGCTACATGTCTTCGTTTGAAACAAAATTTAGCAATAAAATAAGGTAAAAAGTTTCAAAAATGGAAATAAATTAAATACCTCAAACTAAAGAAAAAGAAAGAAAATAACATGATTATAATATATAATAATAGTATAATACCATACCAAATGTTTTACTAACGAGTAACGACAATCTTAGATAGGCTTGATTTCATTTAAGTATTTAAGCATTTAATCTACAAAATTATGATACTATCACACATCATTGTGATGAAGGTAGCTTCAACAATTAAATATAAAGGGCGTGTCACAGATTATTGATGTCAAATTCATAAATGATTCATTATTGAATCAGCAAAAAAGGAATATAAATTTTATTGATGAATAATTATGGCCGATATTACCCTTCTAGCACCAGCAAGAGCGCAGAATATAGAAAGAATGCCTGTCCCACAGCCTACATCCATTACAACCTACAAATACACGCACAAAGTTTAAAATTATGGATTGACATAACAATAGACAAAAAAACAACCTAAAGTATTCAACCCAAATTTCCAATTTGCCGCATAAAATTGCAAATGAAAACCCAAAGAAAATTTCTTACTTTCCCTGAAATTAAATTTTGATGTTGCATGATGGCATTCCTGTAAGTTTTCGTCCTTACATGATCCTGAACAGTAATAACAAGTTTAGTCAGTAGCAATTAATTGTACATCATAAAAAAGCAAAATTCAGCAACTAAGACTGAACTAAGTCTGACATAGATAAAAAAATCATGACCAAGACAATAACAACGACAACAACAACAACAACAACGACAACAACAAGCCTTTTATCCCACTAAGTGGGGTTGGCTGCATGAATCCTTTTTTTTCATTGTCCTGTTAAGAATCAAAATCTCATCTAAATCTAATAAAGAAATGTCATTTCTAATATTTTCTAACCAAGTCTTTTTAGGTCTACCTTTACCTTTCTTAACATAAGTCAAATCTAATGCTTCTATTTTCCTAACCGGGACATCGGAAGGCCGCCGTTTTATATGACCAAATCATCTAACGCGACTCTCTCTAATATTATCTTCCATTGGAGCTGCTCCAACCTTTTCACGTATATGCTCATTTCATAACATGTCTCTAATAAGAACAAAACCAAATCCACTTGAGCATCCTCATGTCTGTAACACTTAACTTAATATTATGCTTCTCTTTTAATGGCAAATGTTATCCACCATAAAGCATTGCGGGTCTCACTACCATCTTATAGAATTTTATCTTAAGTTTGATATGGTATTTTCTATCACACAACAAGCCCGATGCATTCCTCCACTTCAACCATCCAACTAGAATTCTACTAATAATATCCCTATCTATTTCACCATCACTCTGACAAAAGACCCGTGATATCTAAAATGTGTACTTTTATTAATGACTTGATTGCCCAAAATCAAAATCCCCCCACTAGATCTATTATTACTTAAATTACACTCAATATATTCAATTTTAGATCTACTCAAACAAAAGCCTTTAGACTCTAAGGTTGACCTCCATAATTCAAGTTTACCTTCAACTCCCTCTCTAGTTATATCAACAAGAATAATATCATCAGCAAAAAGCATACACCAGGGTACAACCTCTTACAAATGTCTAGTGAGAACATCCATAACTAAAGCAAAAAGATATTGATGGGACATCAGTTGGAAAGTCTACCGTCGATGTGGCCGTAGATCAACGGCCACGATTTATCCGATGTACTTTTGATTTTATTATTGTTTTCCTTAGTAATGTATTTTTATTTCAGCATTTTCCCTTTTTAACCCTTGCTTGAGGGAATGAGTCATGTAGCCCCTTGAGGGTATTTGAGTCCTTTTGTTTTGTGTCATTGCATGAGACTATTTAAAGCCTCCATCTTGTTCTTTTGAGGTTAATGAATGATATTAAGAAATTTTCCTGCGTTTGTCTTCTTGATGCTTTTGTGAGAGCTTGAGAAAGAGTTTCAGAGCTTGGTGGAGCCTAGGAGAGGCCACCCGTCGTACCCAACATTCACCACCGGTGGCTCTTGGTTATCATCCTTCCTTCTTTCCCTTCTACCCAACATCCACTGCCGGTCATCCCCCACTTCAAACCACTGCCTCATAACCTCACCCATCCAAGATCAACCTCACCATATCCACAAAACCGAGCCTTCACCATCATCCCGCCGGCCCTCCCCTTAACCACCGGCCTCCCCTTCATCCACCACCATTCCCTCTGTCAATCACCGGCCCCTTTTTGTCTTCCCCACGAATTTTTAAATTTTGAAATTCAAAGTGGAAGTTTCCAAATTTGACCGACGCCAAATTAGGAAAGTTTCAATGATGCTTTCAAATTTCAAATTTAAATTTGCGCGGATTTGAAATTTTCATCATTAATTAGTAGGAGCGGATTAGGAAACGCATAATTCCTTTTCCCCTAACCCCGACTCCCTCTCTCCATGCCACCGGCCTCCTTAGTGGGCCCCTCTCCTTTAATGCTCCATTAAGGGACTTGATTGCATGCTATTTGAAATTCAAAATCAAATTATTTTCCCTCCATTCTTACGCAAATCTGAGAATAATTTCAGATTTGGGAATTAAAACATTTTCACTTCCCCTCAACCTAGTTCCTTCCTAACCCTAGCCTTCCCCCCTCCCTACAAGCCGTCGGCCTCCCTCCCCACCATCAACCTCTCTCTCTCTCCCTCTCTCAATGTGTTCTCTCCTTCGTTTATTTGAGATGTATGATTGATCCGGAGTTTGATTCCGATTTTGCGTACGCGGCTAAGTTTTCGTGGATCTTTTCAAATTGTCGTTCATCGACGTGAGTCCATGCATCAACGAATCCATAGAAAGTCCATTGATCACGTGACATGCGATTTGATCAAACCTTCGAAGGATCAACTATTGGAAGGAACGTTGTGAATCAAGACGTTTCTCCGAGGAGGTGATCTTCTTCCTTGATTCATTTACTTTCGAATTCGACTTACCTCATAGAGAGATTGTTCAAGCAAGAGATTGTGTCTACTAATCGCCATCCACTAGTAATCGTTGGATTGTTACTTCTTTGCTTTTGGATTTCATTGTTAAGCCAAGGTTATGTTGGAAACTACTCCGCATGCAATGCTTTAATTTCCTTAAATGTTTTGATTTCGTTTAGTCTCTTGCGTAGCTTAGCCTTAACGGAAGTAACCACTTATAAGTTTCATTTTGTTGTTTTAGTTGCTAATAACGAAAATCCAAAATTGCTCTTTAACTATTTTGTGCAAGTTTCCTATTTCGCATATAGTCCTGAATCATCTGGTATCAGAGCATGGCTAGCATGCGTTACATGTACTAGAATTCATCCTAGGCTATTGCTTAAGCTTGCATAACTATTTTGGCATGCATACCATCTCGTAAATCAATTTAGATCTTAGTTGTGTTTGCTGTCCAGAAATTTTCTGCACTCATTTAGTGAGTTTTAAGGTTGTCTCTTAAGTATCTAGGTGCTGCCCTCACTATAACAACTTCCCTAGTCACCTAGGATACTTAACGCCTTGTTGTAGTTTGCTGTCTAAACATTTTCTGCATCATTTAGTGACATTCTAGAGAGTTTATCATCGCATTTAGGTGCTGTCCTCTACCTAGTTTCACCCCCAAGTGTCCCCTAGTGTCTAGTCATGGACCCGGAACAACTAGGAAGGACTTTAGACCTCTTGGTAGGTTAGATGAACACCATAAGCCAGCAGTTGAAGGAAAATCAGGCTGACCTAGCAGAGCTTCGTAGGCACACCACTGAGAGGTTTGACACGTTGGTGCGAGCTAGAGAAAACCCGATTCACTACACCCCTTCTAGACCTCCGTCCATGTATGGGGATGACGTCTACCACGATGAGGGACCTCCTCGTGCCCATCATCGCGCTCCCCAATATGGACATAACCACCCTCACGACCCTGATGTACCACACTACCACTCATGAAAAATATCAAAGTGGATGCTCCTACCTTTAATGGCATGCTTGATCCCCAGCTCTTCTTGGACTGGGTCAAAGGTATGGACAGTTTTTTCAAGTGGTACAATATTTCTGATGCGAGGAATGTTACTTTTGTTGAAATGAAACTCACGGGTAGGACTGGGCAATTTTGGTCTAATCTAGAAAGCCTCCATCCTATTTCCCCAGACTGCACATTACTGATTGGATCACTATGAAGCGGGATTGAAACACAAGTATGTACCTCCATCCTATTTCCCCAGACTGCTACACAAGTGGAATAGGCTAACCCAGGGTAGCAAGCCCGTCAAGGATTACATCGCATCCTTTGACGACTACTTCATTAGATGCAAGGGGGAGACCGCTGCTACCCCCGCGCAGATTCTGTCCATGTTTCGTACTGGGTTGCGAGAGGATCTTCGAAATGAGCTGTTTGACCGGAACGTTACTACCCTGGAGAATGCGTATAGTTTTGTTCTAGACCTTGAAGAGAGTCGGTCCCAGCACCCTAGCCGGTCCCACAACGTTAGGCATTCATATAGGCCTTCTGGTAGCTCCACCCGTAACAATCCTACTACAAGACCCACACCTGGGAGCACCAGCCAACCACCCACCGGCCCTCCTGCTCCCCGATCTGATGTTAGACCAAACCTCCCACCCCGGATACCCCTCGGTCCAATCTCGGGACCAAGTGCTTTCGATGCCAGGGGTATGCGCATATCGCTTCTCAATGCTCCAGTCCTTATAAGATTTCTATCGTCGAGGAGATTATTGAGAACGATCTTGAGCCCGAGGGTGATCAGATCCATTAGGTTGAGGATGAAGGAGAATTCTTTGAGGAGGACGATGACACCGCCGCCCTCCATTGCCTTCAGAGACTGGAACCTCTCCCATCTGCGTGGTGAGATGTGCACTTTCACAGCCCACCCCCACTGATGATTGGCGTAGGACCACCATTTTTCATACCTATACGAAAATCAGGGATAAGAACTGCAAAGTCATCGTGGATAGTGGTAGTTGCATCAATTTTCTATCCTCCAGCATGGTATCCAAGTTAGGACTTGCTCCGGTTCCTCACCCCAGTCCATATAAGGTAGCTTGGATCAATTCCACTGCCTTGGAGGTGAAGGAACGAAGTCTCGTGCCTATCTCCTTTGCCTCTTACAAGGAGAATGTATGGTGCAATATTTTGATTATGGATGTTGGACAGATTCTGTTAGGTCGACCTTGGAATTTTGATAATGATGTCCACATCTATGGGCGCTCGAACACCTGCGTGTTCGAACATGCGGGTCAAAAGATCAAGCTTTTACCATCGCATCCCCGGGGCAAGGATGACACCAAACCCTCCCCGAATAACCCCAAGGGACTGAATTTGGTTACTGCTGAGGTTTTGGACTCTGAGGACACCCACGGCGCTCCACTTTATGCACTTGTTGGTCGTGAGATTCCCACTGAGTCTGACATGCCCATCCCTGATGAAGTTCGACCTATTTTAGAGCAGTTTGCTGATATATTCCCTGATGATCTCCCAGATATATTACTTCCACTTACGGATATTCTGCATGCCATAGACCTTGTTCCTGGAGCCTCACTCCCGAACCTGCCCCATTATCGCATGAATCCTACTGAGCACGCTGAGCTCAAGAAGCAGGTAGAAGAGTTACTACAGCCAGGTTTCATCAA